GTTTGTTTTTAGTTTTTTTTTTTTTTTGTTTGTTTGTTTATTTGTATTAATTTGTTTATTTATTTATTTGTATTTGTTTAAAACACATGATATGTATTTCTGAGTATCTATCATCCAGAATTCCGAAATTAGGGTTTAGGGTTTAGGGTTTAGGGTTTAGGGTTTAGGGTTTAGGGTTTAGGGTTTGTTGTTTGTTGCAGGGTCCAGATACATGCGGTATAAGCAAGACAGAGACACACGAGTATGAGGTGTATAGACACACGATGACGATGGGCAGCAAGGGCCCTACAGCAGTATGTGAGTGTAGGCGCCAGAAACCAGCAGCAGCAGCAGCAGCAGCAGCAGCAGCGGGAGCAGCAGCAGGAGGAGATGATGCAGCAGCAGGGCCTATTGAGGGTTTTGCTGCTTGGGAAACAACAAAAAAACAAAAACAACAAAAAAAAGAAATAGAGGGAAACAACGCCAGGATGGCTCAGGGGTTAGGAGCTACACTAAAGATAGCTCAGCTGCTGCGAGAGAAGGCCCCTGAGGCTCAGCAGCTGCTGCAGCAGCTGCAGCAGCAGCAGCTGCAGCAGCAGCCTGCAGCAGCAGCTGCTGCTGCTGCAGCAAACGCAGCAAATGCTGCAGCAAATCATGTTGCTGCTGCTGCTAGCCAACCCATACTTATGCCCACTGCACCTGCTGCTTCATTTGTAAATGCTGCTGCTGCTGCTCCTCCTGCTGCTGCTGCTGGGTTCCCTGCTGCTGCTGCTGCAACGATGCAGCAGCAGCTCCCCGTCGCCGTCCAAGGATTCACTGCAGCAGCAGCAGTACCCCCACCTGCTGCAGCAGCTGTACCTGCAGCAGCAGCAGCTGTACCTGCAGCAGCAGCAGCAGCAGCAGCACCCTTCAGCAGCAGCAGCAGCATGGGGGTCGCTCCCCAGGGAGTTGTCTTCGGTGCAGCAGCAGGAGAAGCAGCAGCAGATACCCCTGCTAGCATGCTGCAGCAGCAGCAAGACCTGCAGCAGCAGCAGCTGCTGCAGCAGCAACTTGTTAGCCAACAGCTGCTGCAGCAGCAACTGCAGCAGCAGCAACTGCAGCAGCAGCAACCCTTCTCTCCCGCTGCTGCTGCCAGCAACTCAGCAGCAATTCACTCTCTCTCTCTCCCGCAGCAGCAACCGAATTACCTGCAGCAGCAGCAGCAGCAGCAGCAGCAGAATCTGCTGCAGCAGCAAGACTTGCTGCAGCAGCAAAACCTGCTGCAGCAGCAGCAAGACTTGCTGCAGCAGCAGAACATGCTGCAGCAGCAGCAAGACTTGATGCAGCAGCAGCTGATGGCTGAGCAGCCACTCTCACCAACGCTGTCGCAGCAGCCGCTGCAGCAGCCGCTGCAGCAGCAGCAGCTGCTGCAGCAGCAGCTGCAGCAGCAGCAGCAGCAGCTCATTGATCCCCTGCTGCAGCAGCAGATGCAGCCGCAGCTGCAGCAGCAGATGCAGCCGCAGCTGCAGCAGCAGCAATACCCTTCCCAGTATCAGCTGTTTACATCTGCGCAGCAACTTGAGCAGCAGCTGCAGCAGCAGCAGCAGCAGCAGCAACTGTCGCAGCAGCAGCAGCAGCAGGCTCCCCCAGTCCTCCCCCACCAACACATGATGCCGCCGCCCCCTCAGCAGCAGCAGCAGCAGCACCAACCCGTGCTGCAGCAGCAGCAGCAGCAGCAGCAACCTCTACTGCCCCTTCTAGGGGGCCTAAACGCTTCGCAGGCGACTGACGTGGCAGCTCGTGCTGCTGCTGCAGTAGGAGCATTCATGCGCGGCAACAGCAGCAGCAGCAGCAGCAGCAACAGCAGCAGCAGCAGCAGCAGCAGCAGCAGCAGCAAGAAGATTGATTGGGTTGATAGGATTGCTGATACGCTGCTGCAGGAGGGAAACAAAACCCCAGCTGGTGCTGCAGTAAACAGAGCATTCGATGACTTTCTTACGGTTGCACAGAGAGCATAAACAGCAGCAGCAGCAGCAGCAGCAGCAGCAGCAGCAGCAGCAGCAGAGGCAGCAGCAGGAGAAGCAGCAGCGGGGAGAGGAGGAGGGAGAGCAGCGGCAGCAGCAGCAGCAGCAGCAAATAAGAGCAGCAGCAAGAAAAACCGACTTCAGTAGCTAGAGCTATTGTTGTGCTGCAGCAGCAGCAGCAGCAGCAGCTGCTGCTGCTGCTGCTGCTGCTGCTGC